TGGATCTCTTACGTGTTGCTGGTGAGAATGCAAACTAGTGTAGCCACTCTGAAAAACAGGCAAAATCTTACAAGTCAATCGTACGTTGACCATATACCCCAACTGTCCCATTCCTAGGTTCTTACCTAGAGAAAGAAAAGTTCGTGTTCACACAACCTGTACACAAACATTTATAGTTGTTTTGTTTATAGGTATTAAACCTGGAGACAATCTAAATGTCCTTCAACAAGTAAATGGAGAAACAAATTGTCATTCAGCTATACTGTGGAATATTATTCAGTGATTAAAAGAAACTATTAAATATACTCATGTGAAGGGGTTCCCAGGACCACTTCTATCTTTAGAGGTTCACTAGAAGGACTTACTGGGACTCCGTATATAGTTGTATTCAAGGCTAAGATTTATTATAGCAGCACAGTAAAGATCCATGGTGAATCATAAGGGAAAAAGACCTGGATGGAGTTGGAGGAATCTGTGTGTAGGCTCCTCTGTTCTCTTCCCATGGGAGAATACATAGGTTGGAAGACTCAATTTTGTTAAGATGTCAGTTCTCCTCAAATTAATCTGTAGATTCAATACAACTTTTGTCAGAATTTCAGCAGACTTTACACAGAAGTCAATAAACTGGTCCTCAAAATTATATAGACATGTTGAGGATGAGAATAATCAAGACAAACTTGAAGAACTTCAGTACTTAATTATAAGACTTAAGATCAAGCCATAGAGGTTAAGACAGTATGAGTGTATTAATACAGCAAAAAGATAGACAAATAGATCAGAGTAATACAATAGAGAATGTAGAAATAGGCTAAAGTAAGTACAGTGAGTTGATTTTTTGACACAAATGCCAAAGCAAATCAGTGCTAGAAAGCAAACCTTTTAATTCTGAAACAAGTGGATATCTTTTTGGGAAAAAGTGAGCCTTGTCCTATGTTACAATATAAACAAAAACATTCATTTGATGTTGGCTGCAGACCTAATTGTGGAAAATAAACCTAGGAGAATATCTTCATGACCCTGGGGTCTGTAAATATGAAAGAAAAACTTGGCACATTTGGCTTAATCAAAATGAAAAACTTCTCATCAAAAGACATACAAAAAGAATATCAAAGAGAAAGTACAGCTTAGGGGAAAATAATGTGCCCTACGTTTATATCTGACTTAAGACTTATGTCTAGAATACCCAAAGAATTAGTACAATCATTGCTGCCACAACAGACCCATTTTTAAAAATGGACAAAATAGTGAATAGGCACTTCATGAAAGAATTTATTGAAATGGTCAATAAACATGAAAAGTGTACATCATTAGGGAAATGTATATTAAGACCACAGTGACAACAGACCAGTATGTATCCAGCACAATGACTGGTATTGAAAAGATTGACAAAAAAGAAAAGAAAAGATTGACAAGATCAAGTATTGGTGAGGTAGAACCAGCTAGAAGCTCGTACATACACTGTTGGTGAGAACCTATATATTTTTTTCTTACTCAGTTCCCTTGGCTCTTTTTTTTTTTTTTTTTTTTTTAACGATAGTCATACAGAGAGAGAGAGAGAGAGGCAGAGACACAGGCAGAGGGAGAAGCAGGCTCCATGCACCGGGAGCCCGACGTGGGATTCGATCCCGGGTCTCCAGGATCGCGCCCTGGGCCAAAGGCAGGCGCCAAACCGCTGCGCCACCCAGGGATCCCCAGTTCCCTTGGCTCTTAAACTAGATCAAGCTCAAGTGCAATGGTGCTCAAATTCAGATGGCCAAGAATTCATAGGAAATATGATAAAGTGATATGTGTGTGCTAAGCATGACTCTTGGTTGCAAGTGACCCAACTTGGTCCTACTTAAACTCAAAATGATGAATACGTTATCTTAGGTAATCCAGTTCATGGGTGGGTTAGTGCCAGGCTCAATTACAGCCAAATAATTACACTGTGTGTATAGGAATCTGCTTCTCTGTTTTCCTCTGGAATGGCTTAATTTTGAGAAAACTTAGTCATAGGGGCCACATGCAGCTCTTAGGCACTGAGTGTTCTACATACTTGAATAGTAGTGCCGTCCTTGTTCTTGCTTAATTGTCTGGAATACACGAATTTCTTATACCTCAGCATGTTTCAGTTCTACCCCTTTTTCAAGGCCTGGCTCAAGTACCACCTCCATCAATAGCCCTCTTCTGAGATTATTTGACCTGCGTTAGTTTCTCTTTGCTTTTGGCTGTTATTATTTACTGCTACTTTAAGTTCTTTAGCTATCAGTATCCTTATTGAACCTAATAGAGTGCCGGACACACTGTAGGCTTAATAAATAATGGACAGTTATTGCATGCTTTATTTATTTATTTTTTTAAATTATCTGTTGCAGTCCCTTAATTGTTGGGCAGCAACAATTTGTAAGGTGGCCTTAGATGATCCTGTCTGTATACCCATACCTTACCACCTTCCAGTCACTGTCTGATGGAGCCTTGTCATCTGTTATGTGGCATGGTCATGTTCATTTGTTTTTGCTCTTTTCTTTTTAAAGTAAGCTCTGCATCCAACACGTGGTTTGAACTTAACCACCCTGAGATCTAGAGTCGCATACTCCACCAACTGAGCTGGCTAGCCAACCCACCCACCCCTGCCCCAAGCATGTTCATGGTTCTTATACATATGCAGTCAGAAAAGCAGTGTTGGTATGCTGTCATGACTGTGTATCAACCTTTTCTTTAAATAGCCGTTTTCAGTGGAAGCAAAAACACTCATTCTTTTTAATTCTTTTTGTCTGATTCTACTAGTAATCATTTATTGACACTTACCTAATACAATAGTGATTCTGAAACTTGTCAGAATCACTTAAAGGGCATTTTGTTTACATATTTATATTTTTATCACAGTTTGCCAATGACACTTTATTTTTTCTTCTCAAAATCCTATTCTGTAGTGTCCTTGGCCCTTTTTGCCTGAGTGCCAAAGAGTCAGGCATTGGCATGGGCCATGTGAACGCTGGCCATTACCTTGTAGTTTCCGAAACCCTCCTCCTCCTCCACATGACTCTAGCTTTCTCCTCGTAAACTTTCCATATGGGCATGACTCGTCCTGTCAGCTGGGCAGCCAATTTGAGGTCTTTAGCAGAGCTGTCTCCCTTTTTGGGGGCCAGGGGCTTCCTGGGAAGAGGGTAAGCTTAGAGTAGTATCTCGTAGCCACTGCAAGAACTCTGTGGACTTGTTTTGCCTTCTTGGATCCACTGGGATCCCAGTGGGCCCTGCTACCTTCTTGCAGACACCAGCGTCTTGTAACTAACTCTTCTGAGCTGAAGCCCCTGCTAGTGCACCCTTTGGGGTGCCTCACTATGGCTGGAGGGGTCCAGACACAGGGCAGGGGTGTTAGTAGAATTCTATGAGTATTTCTAACAATTCAGCTCTAACAAATAGAGGCAGTTCCTTTATTTCACTACATAGCACTTAGGTGATGAGTATAAATGGTGGAAGTACTGGCTAGCTACGTGGTTTGCTTGTTCTCCCAAATAGGTATTCCTAATTCTGTCAGTAATGTATTTTGGTCTTGGCCAATTCCTGTAATTTTTTCCCAAAGCCTTGATTTTCTTACCTTTTTTTTTAAAAAAAAAAATTATTTTTAAGTAATGTACACACCCAACATGGGGCTTGAACTTAAAGTCCTGAGATCAAGAGTCACATGTTCTACCAACTGAGCCAGCTAGGTGCTCCGGTTTTCTTTAACATGACGTTAAAAGCCGTTCTCTCATCATTTTGCAGTCATCATTGTAAGAGGCACCAGTGGATGCTAAATCTGGGGGTTGTGGCAAGATTCATAAATTTTTTTGCCTGGTCTTAAAGTGTCTCCTGCCAGATTACTAAATAGTTGCAAAGGGGAAAAATTTTACTGTGAGGGGAAGATGGACATCTTGTCTCTAGATGGTCCCATTACAAGGGCACAGCATCACTTATAGAAAAGTCTGCCCGATAGTGCACAACTGCAATCCAATCATATGGGAACATCAGACCCAAAGTGAGGAGCATTCTACATTTTTACACAGTTTGTATTCCTCTTAAATAAAAATGTTATAAAACATACAGAGGTTAGGGGATCCCTGGGTGGCGCAGCGGTTTGGCGCCTGCCTTTGGCCCAGGGCGCTATCCTGGAGACCCGGGATCGAGTCCCACGTCGGCCTCCCGGTGCATGGAGCCTGCTTCTCCCTCTGCCTGTGTCTCTGCCTCTCTCTCTCTCTTTGTGGGACTATCATAAATAAATAAAAATTTAAAAAAAAACAGAGGTTGAAGGACTGTTCCAGATTAGAGACATGATAGCTAAGAGCAATATGCGATCCTAGACTGGCTCTTGTACTGAAGAGGAAAAAGTGCAATCAAGGATAGTATTGGAATATGGATGGTAGGTTAGATAAAAAGTATGGTATCAGTTTGGAATTTCCTGAGGTTGGTAACAGTATCGTTACATAAGATAATCTTTGTTCTTAGGAAAAGCACATTGGAATACTTAAAAGGCAAAGGTTTATGATGTGTATAACTTAATCTCAAGTGAGTCAGAAAAATATATATGAGAGATGAGATAAAGCAAATGGAACAAAGATACAGGTATTCTTTGTACTATTCATTTGAATTTTTTTTTTTTTTTGAAGTTTGAAATCATTCCCAAAATGAGGAAAAAAATGTTTTAGAAGAACTCCCTTTTCATTTTAGGGTAGTTGTAAAGAAAATATCTGTCTAAAAATGTTTTCAAAAAGCATTGTGCTTTACAAATGATAGTTCGTATGCTGCTTTGTTTAGGTAATTTCATATCTCATCCTGTGGGTATTCTCAGCTAGGTTGCTGACTCCTGAGAGCCTGCATGAGGTCGGTACTGCCCTGCGTTGTAATACTCAACCCCCTTGGTAGGGCGGCTTCCTGAGTGCCCAGCGCAGCGGCGTTCCACCCGACTGTGAAGTGCCTCCTGTGACCCTAGTCTGTTGTTAGGTATTGTACCTTTAGTTTTGAAAAGTTTATTTTTCTTTCAGCCCAAAATGGAGTTAATCCTGACTGGGAGAAGAAAGTAGTTGAATATTTTAAGGAAAAGCTGAAGGAAAATAACGCTCCTAAATGGGTAAGTTTGTTGCTTTTCTTGGGGGAGAGCCTTGGGCTGACTTCCAATTTTTCTCAGTAGAGTGGTAATCCACTTGAAATTTTAGTATATGTGCTGCCAAAACAAGCACTAAAATTTTAAACTATATACATTAAAGTATACTGTCTTCTGCTTTATGTGCACATGAATTAAAAGATTTTGCCCTTTTCCAACTGAAATTTTAATTTCAGGCAATTCAGTGCTTCTGTATTGGTGCCTCTAGGTGGCAGTAATTGACCGTGTTACTTTCAAATCAAATCAGTAATTGTGAGATTCTCGATTATCTTTGTTTTATTTCATTTAAAAAGAATTGGTATGTACTAGTCTTAAGAGCTCAACAAAGCAAGTGCCTGCTACTTGAGAAGTGTTCTTAAGGAAAAGCATCCTTTTACATTAGAATCAGATGTCACTATACGAACTTGGAAGGACATAAAAAATACTTTTGCGTCTAGCACTTTTATGTTAACTCTTGAGTTTGCTGGCTTCCTAATGGGTCTTGGTGTGTGTGTGTGGGAGGGTTGGGTTCTGGATATACAGTCTCTGTATATGTGCTTACAGTTTTACAAATAGTATCTTACTGACTTGTTTTTCTTTAAGGTACCATCACTGAATGAAGTTCCCCTTCATTATTTGAAACCTAACAGTTTTGTGAAGTTTCGCTGCATGATTCAGGATATGTTTGACCCTGAGTTTTACATGGGAGTTTATGAAACAGTTAATCGAAACACAAAAGCACGTGTATGTATTGCTTTTTTTCATGAAACTTTCTGTTTGTAATTAGTGGTATTAATTTTATCCTTGTTTATGGTGGTTTTGATTGAGATATACTGATATGATACTGTTATCCTTTGTTTTCGATCATAGGTCCTTCATTTTGGAAAATATAGAGATGTAGCAGAGTGTGGGGTATGTATCCTTAAGACATAGAAAACATTTTAATAAGAATTTTTTCTTAAGCAGCGAATTTATTTCTTTTGGTTGATCTCAAGTGTGTAAATAAGTTCTAAGAAGTTATGTGAAATGTTTTATTCACCTCTTAGTTAAGAGTTTCTCTGATACTTTTTTTTATCTTCTAAAAATCTCTTAGAAGGTGGAGTATTGTAAATAACAAAACTAATGCCTTTATTCTCCTAATATCTATCTAACTTTCAAAATTACAAGTTATAATAAATTCTTTTAAAGTAAAAATGTAAGATTAACTTAGGACTTAACAATTTTTAAGTTAAATTTCATTAAATCCTGTTTTCTTAGGAAAAATGTTTTTAATAAACTAAGCTTTCTTTGATAAAGAGAAGTAATGGAAACTCTTACATATCTGTAATGGGAGAGGCAAGAAGGCAGAGGACACTGGATATAATTATGGTTGTGAAAGCGACAGTCTTGAGGTAGAAACTTAGCGGAAAGGCAGTTACAGAGGAATTACAGTATATCTGTATTTTTTGAAATTGGGTTTTAATGTGGTTCCTTAGAAACTGATGGTAATTGTCAGTTGTTGGGGGGAAAAAAAAACAAGTATCACAGATGACAATAGATCAGGCCAGTGCTTAAGTAGAAAGGTAGCACCTGGTGGCGTTACCTCTGTTCTCTGTCTAGTTCTCTGCTTTGCTGACCCAGAATCTTAGATTATCTGGGGCTTTTTACATTCTGGGAGTCTGACTCCTGGTTACCCAAACCTCAAGAGATAGATTTATAAGCCCTAATACCAGCACATCAGTTCAGAGTAGAAGCTGTGCCTGATTGAGTAAAGTGTTCTAGCTCAGGGCCAGTCCTGACAGAAGAACAGGCCTAATTTGAAAGGTTGCTGTGAAGATTATATTAAACAAGAATGTAACTTCCTATAATTATTTAGGGGGACTTGTGAAAGATGGATTTGCTGATCTTAACACGTGATGAACTTTAGGTGTCCCAGTGTCTTTTTTCTTTGAGGCTGTTTCCATAAAGTAAAATATGGTGCCAAATTGAATGAGGCAACTTTATAAATACTTGCTGTATCCCTTGTTTGAGGAGCCCTAACTCATATGAGCCTAAGGTATCAATACACAGCTTTGTCTAGTACACAGTAATGTAGTATCCCCACAAGTTAGTTATCTCAGCATCTGGAAATAAGGAAAATAAAATACATGAGTCTGTCCGTGTATGACACTGCTGAAGGCAGAGAATTCGTATTGTGTTGCTAAAGGTCATAAATAAAAACACCAAACCAGGAAAACTTTGGGCCTGGAAAGAAAGAAACACACACAAAGAGCCTTGCTTGAACATAACTAGCTTAGGCTGAAACTTGACGACTCTTGGGTCTGGTTTTATTTCCCCCTACAAAATGGTATAGATGTTTTATTTTAAGAGATTGTTTTTGTCCTATGTATGTACTAAAAGTAATATTAAAGTAATATTTTAATATGAAATTTGGGTCCTTTCTACCTCTTGGGATTTTCTAAGTATATTTGAAAATAGAGAACATGCCTTTTCTAGGGAATAATATCTGACTCAAATCTCATATCAGAGTTACTTTTTTTTTTTTTTAAGATTTTATTTGTTTATTCATGAGAGACATAGAGGGAGAAGCAGGCTCCTCCCTGTGAGCCCAATGCGGGACTTGATCTCTGGACTGAGATCGTGCCCTGAGCTGAAGGCTCAACAGCTGAGCCACCCAGCCGTCCCTCAGAGTTACTTCTTAATGTATATTTCATTAAGTTCCTGTTTTCTAGGCTGATAAGATTTTTTTTATGTGAGAGACATGCTTTGTCTTTGAAAAAAATTAAAGTATCCTATTTATTTAAAAGGATTTAATTTTGTAACAAGGTGCTGTATAATATGGATTTGAGAGAAGATCATGTATTGATTGCATATGAAATGATTTTATGTCTGTTTTCTTTTTAAAAAATGATAGTTTAGATTTAGTATTTCTTAATTCTTAATATGAAATATTTACTGTGGTTTTGCAAACAATGTGAATATGTAGCTTGCTAATTAAAATTTTTATTTTATTTTTGTTTTTCTTAATAAAATTTTAAATATACTTTTTGTGTATATCACAGCCTCAACAAGAAGTGGATTTAAACTCCCCACGAACTACCACTTTGGAAAGACAGACTTTCTATTGTGTCCCAGTGCCTGGGGAATCTACATGGGTAAAAGAAATATCCTTTATTTGAAATTTCTTCTGTGCTGAGAGGTTCTTGATTACTTTATTATTTGAAAAGACCACAATTAAATTTTGCGTTTTTAGAAACTTAGTCTTTTTACACCAGCGAAGTTAGCTGGAAAAAAATTGTTCTTCATTTACAGAGCCTGGCTTTATTTTAATGAAATGTTTTTCATTTGTCCTAAATGAGAAAAGTTATAAAAACAACCCAAGTATGCATCTTTGAGAAATGATAAAATTGTGGTACATTCCCATAGTGAAATACTGTTAAAAAGATTCAGGTGGATTTAAAGGTACTGAAAAAGAATACCATAATTAAATAAAAACACAGTTTCAAAATAAGAACTAATTCTGGGTTCTTTTTTTTTTTTTTTTTAAAGATTATTTTATTTATTTATTCAGAGAGAGGCAGAGACACACAGGCAGAGAGGGAGAAGCAGGCTCCAACCTGATGTGGGACTTGATCCCCAGTCTCTAGGATCACACCCCGGGCTGCAGGCGGCGCTAAACTGCTGCGCCACTGGGGCTGCCCTAATTCTGGATTCTTAAGGGAAAAAACATGTTTCTTTTGAGAGATGTTTTGACATCTCAGTTTCCTTTTTACTATTTTCATTAAAATTTTTTTAGTAATTTTTTAAGGCATAATTCACATACCCTGAGATCCATGAATTTTAAGGTTGCACTCCAGTGATTTGGACAAATGCACACCCATTTTTTTTTTATACCTATCAAAGTAAAGAATTTGTGCCAGAAACTTCCCTTATGTCCAGGCACTTCACTCTCCTCTTGTAACAATTGTGCTGATTTCTTTCACTCTAGCTGCATTTTACCTATTCTTGTGTGTCATAAAATGGAATCATGCAGTCTTTTGTGTTTGATTTTTGTTCTCCATAATACATTTGAGATTTATCCTTGTGTGTGTGAGAGTAGCTCATTCCTTTTTATTGCTGATTTTATTTGTTTATATTTTTTCCACTGGATGAGCATTTGGGTTGTTTCCAGTTTGGGGCCTGGCATTTTGTGAGAAGATTTTCAATTAGGTTTTTTATTAGTTGTCTCTGTGTATCAGTTGTGATAAGTTGTATCTTTCAAGTAATGGTTTCAAAATCATTTAGTCTCACTTGTTAAATTTATGTCAGTAACAAAGCTTTTCATAATATTTCCTTATTTTCCTTTTCATGTCTGGGAAATATCTAGCAATGATCTCTCTCCATTTCCAGTAATGTTAATTAATTTCTCTTTTATTCTGGATCAGTATTGTTCATGGTTTGTCAAAGAATCAACTGTTGAATTTTCTGTTTTCAATCTCGTTGACTTCTCTTATTTCCTTTTATGCTAGTTTGACTTTAATTTTTCTCTAGCTTCTCAGAGTGGAGGCTCAGATAATTAATTTCAAAGCTTCCCTTTCTAATATGAGCATTGAAGGCTATATATTTTTTCTAATAACTGCTTTGGTTGCATTCCACAGATTTTGATTTCACCATCACTCAACTCAAAAATATTTTCTAATTTTCCTTGTGATTTCTTTTTTTTCTCTTTAATCTTACCACACTGTACCTCCATCTCTTCCCCTCATTCTTTATGCTGCTGTTGGCATTCGCTTCATTTGTACTTAAACTATGGAGCTCACAATACTTTATCCTGTTTGCTGTAAGCGTTTTTTTTCTACATAAATTAAGAAATGAGGAAACAGTGTCTTTGTGTTTGTGGTATGTACCATTTCTCTTTGTTCTTTTTGTTTTTATATAGAGTCATCTTACTAAGTCTGTTTTTAAATTTTTTTTTAAAGCACAGATCTAAAGATTAAAATGTTAAATAATAAAGTGTAGATCTGTAGGTGGTGAGTTTTTTGGTTCAACTTTTTTTGTTTTGTTTTTTGAGATTTTATTTACTTATTCATGAGAGACACACAGAGAGGCAGAGACACAGGCAGAGTTAGAAGCAGGCTCTTTAAGGGGAGCCTGATGCGGGACTCAATCCCAGAACCCAAGATCACGGCCTAAGTGGAAGGCAGACACACTTGACCACTGAGCCACCCAGTGCCCCCTTTCACCTCTATTTTTGAAGGATGTTTTTACTGGATACAGAATTCTGGATTGACAGCTCTTTACCCTTCCCAGCATTCTATGTCTTGTTCCGTTGTCTGTTAGCCTCTGTTGCTTTTTTTGCTTGTTTCTTTTGTTTTGTTTTTAAAGAGAGTGAGTGAGGGGAGAGGGAGAGGGAGGAGGAGAGAGAGAATCTTAAGCAGACCCCATGCCTGATGTAGATCCTGATGTGTGGCTCAATCCACAACCCTGAGATCATGATTTGAGCCAAAATCAAGAGTTGGATACTAAACTGACTGTATCACCCAGGTGCCCTGACCCCTGTTGCTTTTTGATGAAAGGCTAGTTGTCATTTTACTGTACCCTTGTATGTAATATCTTTGATTTTTCCCTGGCTGCTTTTAATGTTCTCTGTGTCTATAGTTTTTGGCAGTTTTACTGTGATGGGCTGGGTGTGGGCTTTTTTGTGTTTATCTTGCTTGGGTATTTTTGAGGTTTTGGATCTGTAGTCTGGTATTTTTCAGATTTCAGCCTTTATTTCTTTAAAAAAATTTTTTTTAAAGATTTTATTTATGTGAAAGATATATTTATTTATGGTAGTGGGGTGGGTGTAGACAGAGGGAGAAGCAGACTCCCTGCTAAGCAGGGAGCCTGACGTGGAACTCAATCCCAGGACTCTGGGATCATGACCTGAGCTGAAGGCAGATGCTTAACTGACCGTGGCCCCCAGGTGCCCTTCTTTAAATATTTTTCTGTCTTAGTCTCTTGGCATTGTCTCATTTTCTGGGGATTCAATCAGATAATCATTAAATGTTGTTATTCTCCAGATGACAAAGATTGTGGGGTTTTTTTTTTGTTTTTCATTTCAGATACTCAGTTCTTGATTTTTCATTTGGTTCTTTTCCATTGTTTACCAAACATCCCTCATCTTTGACTCATCTGTCTTTTTTTTTTTTTTTTAAGATTTTATCAATTTATTTGAGAGTAAGAGCACATGCACAAGCAAGGGAGAGGGGCAGAGGGAGAAGGAGAAGCAGACTCCCCACTAGGAGCCCAACATGGGGCTTGATCCCAGGACCCAAGATCATGACCTGAGCTGAAGGCAGATACTTAACTGACTGAGCATTCAAGTGCCCTTCGTCTTTGTTTTAAAATTGAATTTTAAGGTTTAGAAGGAACATACTTTAACATAATAAAGGCTATATATATTTTTTTAAATGTGATTTTTTTAGATTGCCTTTTAGTATTCTTGTCTGCTAATTCCAATATCTGAGTCATCTCTGGGTTTGTTTTTATTAATTTTAATCCTGAAAAAAAATTTTAATCCTGATCATAAGTCATATTTTGTTGCCTCTTTATATATAACTAATAATGTGTTACCATATGCTGATTTACAACATTGTAGAGGGTTGGTTTTGTCTTCCTTCCAGTAATGTTGCATTTTCTGACAGGTGATTTAAGTGGATCACTTTGACTTTGTCATGGCTTGGTTTTGAAATTTGTTAAGGTGGGTATGGAATGGCCCTTGCTGTGTAGGAGATGTGTTCGTGAGATGTGCTATTTCTGGTCACACCTAAGTAAGTACCCAAGATGTTCATCAGGGTCCAGTTCTAGTATTATACAATTTCCAGAATTTACAGTTAGCTCCCAGCCAACTAGCAACTGTTTCCTGCTAGGCCTCAAGGAATCCTGACTGTACATCCATAGTTTTGTGTTCAGCCAAAGACCCAAATAAAACCTGAACAGGTTTTTGGGTCTTTATCTGCAACACTTGCCTTTTTGTTACTGCTCTGCAAATTCCGGTTGCTCAGTAACCCTGAACTGTGTGCTCTGTTTTCTCTACTTAGCAAGGGTGAGACCTTCATGTCTCTTTGTTGCAGTTTGGGAAATATTCCCAAGAGAAGGCTGGGAAGAATGTGGAGTTTCCCGGTGTGTTTCCTTATTCAGGAACTGTAGCCTTAAACTCCCTTACAGCATTCAGTGCCTGAATGTCTTTTGTGCTCATGTCTTTTGTGCAGTTTGTAGTTCTTCATAGTGCAGGTAGGGAGCATGAGGTTAAGCTGCTACTCTGATGATCAGAACTGGAAGTCCAGTCTTTTAAAAGGATGTTTTAATTTTAACCAAATTGCAAACCAGTCATCTTTTATGAGCCCTGTAATTAGCATTCCTTAGGATTCCTCAATTCATGGTAGATTTTTCTTAACTTTTCATTTAACGCCTATGTTAATGCAAACCAAGCTCGAGTCAGCCCTTCGACATCCTACACTCCCAGTCGTCACAAGAGGAGTTACGAAGATGATGAAGATATGGACCTACAGCCCAATAAACAGAAAGACCAACATGCAGGGGCCAGGCAAGCAGGTAGTGTATGCCAACGAACTTTCTGTACATCTCTCTCTCAAATGTGTTTTTCAGAGTTAAGTGTTGTGTAATATTGCTATAGATTTAGGAACTGACCATGATTTAACAACCCTGCGTTCAAGTTCATCACAGTTATAGACAGTTTTGTGAGTTTCTACAGTACTCTTTGGTCAAACTGCTTCATAAATGAGCAGGTAGGCATCACTTAGACGTCTCTGCTTTCCTGTTAATTTGTAAGAGTCTCAGAAGGCTAGTTGAAAAAGGTCTTTTCTCATTCTTTATTTTTATCTCAGCTCCTAAGTAATATGGAAGCTAGTATTTTATACTGAAGATGTTTTTCTTTATATCTGAAAACATCCTTTTTCATTTTATTTTTGATATAGTGTTACTTTTTTATTTTTTAAAGATTTTATTCATATGAGAGCACGTGCACGCAAGCAGGGGGAGGGGCAAAGGGAGAAGGAGATGCAGGCTCCCCACTGAGCAGGGAGTCTGACATGGGGTGGCGAGGGGCTGATGCAGGGCAATCCAGGGCCCTGGATCACTACCTGAACTGAAGGCAGATGCTTAACCAGCTGAGCCACCCAGGCGCCCCCAAATAGTGGTACTTTAATTTAGTAAGGTCAAAAGCATCAGAGGATAACTATGAAATTGTGGTGATCTATGTAAATTCGTTCTCAGCTTGAGAGCAGAGAGCCCTTAGAATAGTCACAGTTCTGTTCTATTTATGCACATTTGTAGCAGTTTATCATGAAACATGCTGAAAACCCAATGAATTCTGATTAATACAGGGGGACCAAAAGTTGCAATATCCTAAGAGCATGAGATAATCTCATAATTCACATGTTTCATTCTTGATTTCACCAATCACAGTGTTTAGGAGTGGTGAGTTTCTTTATTATGGCAGGTAGGTAGGTTTGTCTTTATTCCTCTTTTATGTCCATTCACTTCTCTTGAGCACCATCATCAGGAGGCAAGTTGAAAGGAGAGGGGGGTCAAACAATTCAGTCTAGTCAAGGAGCATCTGTAAGATTCGATTGAGAGTGGTAAAGAATTACTAAAAATTTCATTTAACCATAGATTTCCTACTTTAGAAGTTCATATTACTGTATTTCCTTAGAGCAAAGGCATATTTTAATGTTTCTAACATCGGAATGTTTTACAATCTGTACAAATGTGGTGGTGGTGTTTTTCTCCACCCACTCCCTAAATGTTCATTAAAATTAGTGGTGTGTCATAACAATAAGTAACATACTAGCATCCGGGATGTATGGTAATTCTCTTATCACCTTAGCAGCTGATGCTCTCCTCTTTTTTGCGTTTTGTTTGGATGTCATACTATATATAGGGCCCTTGGACATTTGAGTGCGTTTTTGTACAGCTTAACTTGTTTGTTGGTTTCTAGGTGATCTTTCAAGCTATATATATTTTTTTATTTTTTTCTGAGATAAGTGTAGATCACATGTAACTGTAAGAAATAAGTTTCCCCTGATAGTAACATCTTATATAATTATAGTAGAATATCATCACCAGAAAGTGAACATTGACACCACCCTTCAACCTTCTATTAACATTTCTTATCTTAAATGTACTTATTTGTGTGTATTTAGTTTTGGGCAGTATTGTCACTTATGGATGTCACGTGTGGGGCTGCTACCACAGTATCTAGAACAGTCCATTGCCCATGTCTTTCAAGTCGCCCTTTTAGAGTCATGCCTCCTGCTCTCCGGCCTCTCCCTTCCCCACAAGTCCCTAACCCCTAGGAAACACTAATCCATTCTTCATCTCTCTCCTAATGTTATTACAAGAGTGTTATGTAGTCAGGTATACTGCAATTAAAAAAAAAAAAGATTCCAGTCTAGCATTAACCCTAATAAAATAATAAGTTACATACATGGAATCATACAGTATATTCATTTTGTGAATTGACTTTTTTCATTCAGCAAAACTTCCTTGAGATCCATCTAGGTTGTTGCATGTATTAATAGTATATTCCTTCTTATTGCTGAGCTGTTTTATGGTGTGGCAAGCTATATGTTGGTTCTAATTAATTGTACGCCCTAAGCTGTGACTACATTCAAGGATAGAGAGCATTTTTTAAATCATTTTTGTATTGCCAGCAGCTAGTCTGATTTAGGAATCAGGATGAATTGTACATAATGAATGTTATAAATTATTTGGTAAATGAATTTATTGCTAAATGGTTTTATTCTGTTTAATCAGTAGAAAAACATGTTCTTTCAAGGTGGGTTCGTTGTCAGTAGACAGTGTGTTTTGTAGGTTAAAGGTGTCACAGTCACTATTAAATACTAACTTTTACAATACTTGAGGTTTGAAGGGGGGAGTTTTTTTGTTAATGGGAGAAATGATTAAATTTTTCAGATCTTCATAATCTTTGTTCTGTTTTAGCTCAGACAGAGGGTTTTGGTAGCATATGCTACTTTCTTAAGTAAGAACTGTAACAACTTGGGTTTTGAGTTCAGAAGCATCATTTATATCAAACTTGAAAGACTCTTTAGGAAGCCTTAAAAATGACTAAGTACAGTGCTGTTCTTTGAATTTAGGGAGTGTTGGTGGTCTTCAGTGGTGTGGAGAGCCAAAACGTTTAGAAACTGAAGCTTCTACTGGGCAACAGCTGAACTTCTTGAACCTCTCTTCTCCTTTTGACCTGAATTTTCCACTGCCAGGGGAGAAGGGCCCTGCATGCCTTGTGAAGGTACTAAACCTTTTATAGACCTGACCCTGTTGTAGATGTGGAATGTGTCTTGGGAGTTAACATGGAGTATCTCAGCATCTGTGTTTGTTTCCCATGGCTGCTGTAGTGAATATTCACAATGTTAGTGGCTTTTAAACAACAAAAATTTATCATTTTTACAGGCTTTAGGTCAGAAGTCCAACATCTATCTCACTGAGGATAAAATCAAGGTGTCCTTGGGGCTGCATTCCTTTCTGGATGCTCTGGGGGAGAATCTGTTTTCTTGCCTTTCCCAGTTTTATAAATACTCCCAATTCTTGGTTTGAGACCCCTTCTTCTATCTTCAAAGCCAGCAGCTATGCATTTCTCTAACTATGTTTTTATAGTCATTTCTCCCTTAGACCGTAGGTAGGAAAGATTCTCCCATTTTAAGAACCTTGGTGATTAGATTGGGCCCAACCAGATAATACAGGATGATCTCATCTTGGGGTCTTGAATGTACACACATCTTTGGTGTCAGGTAACATATTCACAGATTTCAGGAATTAGGATGTAGACCTCTTTGGGAGGCCATGTTCTGCCAACCACAGCACTCTCAAAGAATTGAAGGATATGGGGCACCTGGTTGGCTCAGTTGGTGGAGCCTGTGACTCTTGATCTCAGGGTTGTGAGTTTGAGCCCCATGTTTTTTTACTTAAAAAAAAAAATCGAATATTTCCAACACAGAATAGTTTAATTCATGTGTACTTCCTTTCTCTATCATTTCCAACTTCCAACAGTATCTGTGCATTTTCAACATTATTCTCATCAAAATCTGATCTCATTTGTATTTAAAATAAAATAGAAGGCAAAAAATCTATTGGTAGCTTGTTCTATCTTGCTTACCCTGGTTTTTGATCCTGATAGGTGAAACAAGCAATATAAGTTTCAGAAATGATCACTGAGAATTTTCATTCTTTTATTTTGTGATTTTAACCTAAATGGCACTTTAGTTATATACCACAGGGACCAGAGTTAGGACAGCTTCCTGCTGTGCTTCAGTTTAGCCTCATCAAGAGGAGGCTTTGACAGTTACTGAAGTCCATCAAAGATAGCCTTCAAAAGTTTTATTGTGAAAAACCTTTCTGAGTTTTGTGTTCCTAATGGTGCATAGTTGGTGAATAAGTCCAAAGTTAGTAATCCTGCGTTTTGTTTTGTTTTTTTTTTTTCCTTTCTTGGTGTGCTTAATAGGTTTTGAGATAATGCATGGTTCTTGTTTTTCTTTAAAGATTTTATTTTTTTTATTTATTTGGGAGAGAGAAAGAACACGAGTAGGGGGAGGGGCAGAGGGAGAAGCAGACTCCAGCTGAACAGGAAGCCCAACATGGGGCTTAATCCCAAGACCCTGGGATCTTGACCTGAGCTGAAGGCCCTCAGTTAACTCACTGAGCTACCCAGGTACCTGATAATGCATGTCTCTAAAGTTAATTGATCAACATCATTTGGGAAAGCCTTCTAAGTGGTGTAGTGCGTTGATAACAGACCTTGTCCAGGAGTCAGGAGTCCTGTGTTTTAGTTGTTAATTGCTAACTAGGAGAATGACTTTAGGCTAGTACTTTGTCTTTCAATTTATGAAATAAATGAGTTGCTTTAAGGTCCATTTCCTGACCGATAAAAGTCTAAGATACTATTATTACCTTAACCTTAAAACTAATATTTTATGACTTTTTGGTGTTATTTAGTCCTAACAATGTGATTTTTATATGATCTCCTATCAGGTATATGAAGACTGGGATTGTTTCAAAGTCAATGATGTTCTTGAGTTATATGGTGTCCTGTCTGTGGATCCTGTACTAAGTATACTAAATAATGATGAAAGGTGAGTCTGTTTGCTCTTTTTTGGGTAAATTTATTTTGATCTAATTTCAAACTTGCAGACAAATTGGAGGATATTTATAAAGAACTTTCTCTCTTTACCCAGAGTTAGCAGTTGTGAATGCTGGTATCCCATTTGTTCTGTCATTCATACATGTATTTTTCTGCAAAACTTGAGAGTAAGTTGCATACATTATTCCCTAAATACTTGAGTCCTTATTTCCTAAGAACAAAGACTCTCCTGTACAGTCAGGGTACAGTTATCAAAAATGAGGAATTTTCTGTAAACACACCATACTCATGGTCCATACCACGGGCCATGGTTCTTTCTTGTTTTTTTTTTTTTTTTTTTTTTTCTGTTTTCTTTTTCTTTTCTTCTTCTCCTTCTCTTTTTCCTTTTTCTCCTTCTTCTCCTCCCTCTTCTCTTTCTCCCTCCTCCTCCCTTCCTCCCTCCCCCTTCCTGCTTCTTCCTCCTCCTCCTCCTCCTTCCTTCTCCTTCTTCTTCCTCCTCCTCCTTCCTCCTCCTCCTTCTTCTCCTTGATCCAGGATCCATAGGGTCATGTGTTTCACTCACCTGGAACAGTTCTCAACTTTTGTCTTTCCTGGCCTTGACACCTTTTTTTTTTTTTTTTTTTTTTAACTTCACAAAAATTTGTTTCTCACAGTTCTGGAGGCTGGGAAGTCCCAAGAGTAAGGTGCTGATGCTGACATACCTATATCTGGTGTCTAGTGAGGGCCCATTTCCTGGTTTGTAGATAGCTGTCTTCCTGTGTTGTCACATGTCAGAGACCCTCGACACCTTTGAAGAGGACAGCCAGTCATTTTGTAGAATATCTCAGTTTGGGTTTGTGTGACGTTTCCTCATTAGATTCAGGCTGTCCTATCAGGAGGCACATAATGTCAGTGTGCCCCATTACTAGTGATACTAATTTTGATCATTTGGTTAAGGTGACATCTGTCAGGTTTCTGTCTTATAAGGTTTCTGTTTTTTACTTTGTGAAAATAAGCAATTTGGAAGGAGATACTTGGAGACTACATAAATACCCAGTTTCTCATTTCATCACTTATTTTAATATCCACTAATGATTTCTTAAAAAGATTTATTTATGTACTTTAGAGAGAATAGGAGGGGCAGATGTAGAGGGAGAGAGAATCTCAAGCAGACTCTGCACGGAGTGTAGAGCCCAACACGGGGCTTGATCCCATGACCTTGAGATCAAGGCCTGAGCTGAAACTAACAGACGCTCAACTGATGGTGCCACCCAGACACCCCTATGCATTGATGATTCTTGAGTCAGTTTTGTTACTCTCATGGTGATTTTATATCTCAGTCATTCCTTCTACACTTGTTTATTGGCATTTTGTTGGAAGAGAGATTTCCCTTCTCGTTTATTTAAGTAGTTTGTTTATATCAGCACGGATGTTACTTGAGATTCTGAAACAATTCAGATTGTTTATATCAGCACTGGTACTTGAGATTCAGATTTTCTCATTTGGCTAGTGGGAGTCATTGTAAATATGTTCTGGGGCCTTGCTGACATGACCTCATTTTTGAACATATCTTTTCTGACACATTATGCTGTTTCAACCTCATCTTGTCCGACCCATGCTCCACCTGCAGTATCAGCGATTTTTCTAAGGAGCATCAGTTTTAAAAGAAAACTGAGGAATTTTAAAGTCACGATGTGAGTGCTTGTGTGCTCATTGGTTCTAGGATTGGTATTGCTTCTATGCCTTTTTAGTGGACAGTGCTAGGAAATGTATGTACATATACACGGTATGCATACAAATAAATGAATGTTTATTTACCCATACATCTTTATATATTTTTATTTATTTATTTGACAGAGTTAGAGCACATAAGTAGGGGGAGTGGGAAAGGGAGAAGGAGACTCCCCGCTGAGCAGGGAGCCTGACGTGGAGCTCGATTCCAGGACCCTGAGATCATGACCCAAGCTGAAGGCAGATGCTTAACCGACTGAGCCCCCAGGCGCCCTTCTTATGTATTAATAAGTCTCTCTATCAGAACATGAATTCACAGTGTTTCTAGTTCTAGCTCCACGTGCACATGTTCTCCCTTCTCCCTCCGCATATTTGTAACCCCTAACAGAAAGAAGCTTGACTCTCATTATTCTCAATATATTCCATGGCACAGAGAAGGCAACTTCAGAATTGGTAATCTATGCCACTGCAAAAAAAAAACCTCATAATTGGAGTTGAAGAATGGTTTCTACTTCTTTTTATTTTAAAATGAAGTGTATAGTCAGGGTTCTGTGTCCATAGTTCCTGGAGTGAGTCCTTTTCTTCTCCTTTGGTTCTTTGGCTCATTCATTTAATGTAGTTAAGCTTATTTGTTTCTATTGCGTTTCACTTTAGAGTTTCTCGTCCATCCTTGTCCATCCTTGTTTTGATTTTTTTAAGTATAGAAAACGTTGACATTGTTGCCCAAAACACAGTTACATACAAAGAAGGTAGGGGTGTCATCCCCCCCTGCCCTGTTCCCACTCACCCTCCATAGGGAACCAACCTGTCTCTGCTTTTATCTTTCTTACATTTTCTGCAAAAATAAGTAGACATGTGTATGTTCTATTTTCCCTTTATATAAAGGTGGTATGGTAATATGTATTCTTTATACTTTCTCGCCCCATTTAACAATATATCCTGAAAACCCAAGTCTTTCTCATTCTTTCTTGTTTCCTTTTGAATTTGCCAAGAGTGGGATCATATCCCCTCACACAAAACAGTTTTCTTGTTGAGTATTGGACATTCATCTTGGTTTCCCTATAAGAAGAGTTTACTTTTCACCATAAGGGAAAAAAGGTGGCGGGGGACAGAAATTTTAAACAACTGTAAATAAACAAATACACACACACACACACACGTGTGTGTGTGTGTGTGTAGCAGATTTCTTGTCCTGGCAGTTTCTGATTATGATTTTCCTGCTTTAGTCACTTCATTTGTTGAAGCCGCTTAATCCACAGATGCATCAGATAGCTTAAGTTGCCAACCCGGTTTGGCCCTTTAACTGGCCATGTGGATTCCTCATTGTAGATGAGGGTAGGTGAGGTGTTAATGAATTGATGTGTGCACAGCAAAGAACACTGCCCAATGCGCAGTACATACCACGTAAAAGTTGTCATCGTCCTTGCGTGTAAGGAGGGCAGCAGTATAAATTGGGGACTCTAGAGCAGCCGGTAAAGTCTGAAGTTCTAGAAACATTTTAGTGATTTGTTTCAGTCGTATCACTATGAATTAATTGCTAATTTTTTAGCAAATCTGAAAAAGTCATTTTTTCACTGCTTGACTATTCACTATTCAAGGAGGTGAAATGGAAGAATAAAATTTAGGAAAACCAGTTAGCAAAATAAGAGATGAATGGATCTTCCACACTGAATAATAGATACCTAATGGCTTTTGAGAAAAGGACTTCAGTTTTTGAGACAAGCTGTGAAGTATTTCATGTCTCAGCTGATAAGGTGGTTTCCGAGCACAGATACTCTTTATCAGTGATGCGTTCTGTCCCAGTTGTAGTTCTAGCATACTCAAAGTGTTCTTGTTCTTGAAGAATACATACATATCCTCATATGACCTGATTCACCTGATGTCTGTGTGGCATGACAATTTAGCACGAGGAGCCATTTTCCATTCTTTGAGGAGAGTACAGGTGGAACCATTCTTGGCTTGAATTCTCATTTTCAGAGCTGTGTCTATGAATTGAAGTTTTCTCCTCTCTGTAGGGATGCCTCTTCGCTCCTGGATCCGATGGAATGCACAGACACTGCCGAGGAGCAGAGAGTGCACAGTCCTCCTGCTTCATTAGTGCCAAGAATTCATGTGGTTTTAGCTCAGAAGTTACAGCACATCAATCCTTTACTGCCTGCCTGCCTTAACAAGGAGGAGAGCAAAACCTGTAAGTGTAAGTGCTAAGGCCTCGGGACCCAGAGACCGTTAGCCCTGCGCATGTTGGGAGCTGCGTGTGCCGTGTGCTTACGGTGGGGCTGAGCCGGTCAGTTCCTCGTTGCTCAGGTTAATCTAGTGATCTCTGTGACTCTGGCCCATTTTCCTTTATGTCAATTTTCTTTATTAAAATGAGGCCCAAAAGTTTACAAGCTGTCTTACTTTGAATGTTGGCATCACTTAATAACCAATATTTTAAGTCTACACTAGTTGTCTACAGATTTGAGTGCTTTGTTCCTGAGACACTGGGGAGGAACTGGTATGTGTGTTCTGAGTGTGGTCTCCCTCCCTTCTCTAGTTGTTTCAGGTTTCATGTCCGAATTGTCCCCCATCCGAGCAGAGCTGCTTGGGTTCCTCACTCACGCCCTTCTGGGAGATAGCTTGGCTGCTGAATACCTGATATTGCATCTCATCTCTACAGTGTAAGTGCTATATTCCTGGCGGCAGGCAGGGGAGGTGGGGGTTTTGTTGAAAGTGGAAGAGAACAGGAAGGTTTCTCGGGTAGCTTCTGTGTTACTGTAGATTATTTTTGTCATCAAATGGTTTTTATTCATTCAGTGTAATAAGTATTACATGATATCACAAATTCCTTTGTCCATTTTTTTGTTTTACGTTTAACCTTTTGTCTGTCTCCCTTAAATACAAGAGCCACAATCAAAGAATCTAGCTGATGAGTAAAATGAGCTATTTTATTCTTTTTGCATTCTGAATTCTCTGTTTATACATCCTAAGGCTCTGCAAGGCCCAGTGTACACACATCTAACTTGTATGCAGACGTGCTTTACCTCCTTTCCCCTCCACCGCAGGTCTTTATTTTTTGATTTCAGAAATAATTTGTGTCTTCAGCAAGTTCCAGGAGCATGAGGAGACTGGAAATTGTCTGTAATCTCACCCACTTAGAGATGATCTCCAGTAACACATTGGGCTCATGTTCGTTTCATCTTTTTTGTTTACATATGTGTACATTCCTACACGGATCTCCATCGTACTCTAAATGGATCCACGTCTTGTTTTTATCATTTAACATATCTTAAACATTCTTCTTCTTCTTCTTCTTCTTCTTTTTTTTAAAGATTTTGTTTATTCATGAGAGAGAAAGAGGCAGAAACGTAGGCAGAGGGAGAAGCAGGCTCCATGCAGGGAGCCTGATGTGGGACTCGATCCCGGGACTCCAGGATTACTCCCTGAGCTGAAGGCAGATGCTCAACTGCTGAGCCACCCAGGTGTCCCTATTTTTTTTTTTTAAAGATTTTATTTATTTATTCATGAGAGACACACAGAGAGAGAGAGGCAGAGACACAGGAGGAGGGAGAAGCAGGCTCCATGCAGGGAGCCCAATGTGGGACTTGATCCCAGGACTCTAGGATCACGCCCTGGGCCAAAGGCAGGTGCCAAACTGCTGAGCCACCCAGAGATCCCAGGGTGTCCCTATCTTAAACATTCTTGTTTTGTAATTCTTCATGAACTTTTTAATAGCTATACAGTATTTTGTTACAAACCGTTGTGCTAGTTCCATAATTGTTAGATTTCCTAGTTTTCCTCTATAAATGACACTGCAGTCAACATCTTTGTACTGCAGACCTTCACTTGGTTGGGACTTCAGATCCCGGTATATAACGGTTGAGTACAGACTCTGGAGCCAAAGTCGGTAGGTTCAAATCCAGCTCTCCTGCATCCTGCTGTGTGAACTGGGGCATGTTACTTCAGATTTCTGTCTCAGATTTCTCACCTATACAGCGAAGATGACCTGCCTCAGAGAGTCTAGGAATTAAATGAGACATTTAAGCCCTCTGAACAGTCCCTAGCACATGCTCAGTGCTCACATATAAGTACTGGCTATTATTTTTATTGCTGTTATTCTGATAAATGAACTGGTCAGAGTAATTTGCTTTATTTTTATTATTTATTTATTCATGAGAAACACACACACACACAGGCAGAGACATAGGCAGAGGGAGAAGCAGGCTCCATGCAGGGAGCCCGATGTGGGGACTTGATCCTGGGACCCCAGGAGCTAAACTGCTGAGCCACCCAGGGATCCCAATTTGCTTTATTTTTAATGACAATATTGTGCTAATCTTTGTTTGCTTTTTGATGGAAATCAGAAAATCATCAATATCTTACTGGTTGGTATCTTTTTTTCTAGGTATACAAGAAGAGACGTTCTTCCACTGGGAAAATTCACAGTTAACTTGAGTGGTTGCCCACGGAATAGTACCTTCACAGAACACTTGTACCGGATTATTCAACATCTTGTTCCAGCAGTAAGATCAATATAAATATTTATTACAAATCTGAACACTCTGGGGCGCCTGGGTGGCTCAGTTGGTGGGGAACCAGCTTCTCCCTCTGCCTCTCCTTCTGCCCCTCCCCGGTCCACTTGTGTTCTCTTCTCTGCTCGCTCTCTCAAAAAAAAAAATACATTAAAAAAAAACAAAAACAAAAACAAAAAACCTAGGGGCCAAGGGCAATCGACAGCCACAGAGTATGGTGCCATAAAGGAGAGCCTTGGGGGTCAGGATTACTGTGCTGTCAGAAAAGGTTAGGAATGGGGATTTCTGAGGAGGAACCACCAAGTGCTCTGCCAGAAGGGCCAGGCTTTGAGTTGGAACTGTCTTGCTTGCATTTCGTCCTGTTTACACTGTTGTACGCATGCCCCGAAGTTTTCCTGAATGATGAGACAGTATGTGTTTTCCGTGGCCATTCAGAGCCTGTGTTTTCAAAGCAAACAGTAAAATACAAGAAAATGCTTTCAAGTATAAAAAGTACCTCAAACCATCTGCAGATAACACTGGGGTTACTGGCTCTACCAGCTTTTGAAGTAGCAAATCCATTATGCCATTGTATCCATTAAGGTACAAGCAGAACAATAAAAAAACTAGATTAATTTTAAAAGTTGTCTTACAATGATTTCTTTCACACTGAGTCTGGATGCCAACAGGGCAGCCATGAAGTTCCTGCTTCAGTTTGTATGATCAGATGAACTCATGGGAAGTTGGTTGATGTGAGAGGAGATTTTTGAACATGTTTTATCTTGTGCTTGAAAGACATTCAATATTGGGATACCTTTTCAAGAACATTAATACATCCTATATAAATGTCAGGTTACAATGTAAAGATTTAACAAAATTCTTTATGTATCTTCAGCGTTCATTCTAATAGGCTACTGTCCCAGATACCATCTCCCTAGACTGTTTGATCATCAGGTGAAAGTGCCTGTTTATGTACAAGTCAGCCCCTCCCTACCTGTTCTCAGCCCTGCTGACGTGATTGTGAGCTGCCTTTTAGTATAATTCTTAAGCAAGGAGCCCTAGCCCTGTCACCTGAAATAAAACAAGCTTGAGACCATCTGCTGTAGCTCAGGTAGGGGGAGACAGACCTCGTATTTCCCCTGTAGAACGTTTCCAGTTTCCAGGAGCGGAGGTATCTTATACACTAACCTTTTTTCTGAGGTAACCCCTCTGGTTGTTGAGAACTCCAATCAAGGTCACCTCAGAGTATGAGTTTTTAAGGAGTTCTAAAGTAAGACAACCATTTTCGGGGTTACTCTGCCTCTCTCCATTTGTGTCCTAAATTACTCTGCCGTGTGCTATTTTAGTGTTTGGGGGAAATGAAAAATAACGTGTTATTTAGCATAAAAAAAATAAATTAAAAATTTAAAAAAAAACTGAGCATCCTTTAAAAACCCATCTAATTGTCTTTCATTCAGCTCAAGTATTTAACTTTGAGATTTTAATAGATCTTATTAAAGAGGACAAAGCCTGCCATGTCCCATAATTTACATATTCACCCCTAAACATTTCACTTGCCTTTTATTGCCTTAGCACAAGTTTCTATGACTAATGGCACGATTGCAAGTACATCCCTTAAAATTATATTCTTGGTTGATGCCAGTTTGTGCAACTTGGTATCATTTTTGTGCATTAAAATCTTAAATCTTTAAATAAGCCTAAATTAGAGGATCATAGTTCATTTAGTTTAAGTAATAAAGATCTTTATCTCCATTGCCCCAGTTTTAATTCCTGTTTGCAAAGTCGCGCTGCCTTTGTTTGCCAGGGCAGATGGAATGCAGGGTTTGTGTGGTAGTGAAACATTGGGAATGAGGGAATTGCTTCTGACTAGTCATGTGAGTGGCAATGCTGATCATGTCTTATTTTGGAGATTTAGGAGGTTAAAATAGATCATTCATGTGACCATGTTATTAGAGGGTAAGGCCCTTAAACAGCAGTAGGCCAAGCAGACCAGCATTTCTCACACTCCTTAACTCACTTGACACAAAAAATTGACTCAAAGAGGTATAGTTTATCTGTGTGGTTTTTTTTTTGGTTTTTTTTTAGATTAAAGTTTGGGGTTTTTTAAAAGATTTTATTTATTCATGAGAGAGAGAGTAAGAGAGGCAGAGACACAGGCAGAGGGAGAAACAGGCTCTGGGTAGGGAGCCTGATGTGGGACTTGATCCCAGGTCCCCAGGATCACGCCCTGGGCTGAAGGCAGGTGCTAAACCACTGAGCTACCCAGGGATCCCTTATCTGTGTTTTTATTATCAATTTACCATAGTAGAAAATAAAACTAAAGATATACCAGAATATTCTTGAAAATAATTACATATGAACATAAAATATTTTTGTAACAATGGCTATTTTCCCAAGTCATAAAAGTGACCTGGCTTTAAATTTTTGCCAGTCTCAAAAAAATAAATAAATAAAAATAATAAATAAATAAATAAATAAATAAGCAAATAAATAAATAAATGAATTTTTGACGGTCTCTTTAATATCTGGATTAATAGAAGATCACTGATAAACAATTATCAAGTCGTTTCTGCATTCAGTCTTTTGTAATAGGGTGTTTTGATTGAAGTACATGAAGGAGAGTTGACCCCTTTGAATAATGGGATGTTCCTTGATACCAAACCAAAACTGCTCACATGGCATTTTTTTAAAGGATAGTTGCAAGTGTGAAATCTGTAATCTCCTCAAGGAACTTTTCATACTCTGTTACTGTAAATTCATTGGTCTGCCTTGCACACTGAATGGGTCTTTTATCCATGCATGCTTTGGATCTCATGGACTCCATAAAATGTGTCAGCCACTCCCTGGGAGTTCCCTGGACCACATTTCGGGAATTACTGAAATGGCCTTCTATCATAATATTCTGAAATCTGACTAATAAAAAGTAAATACAGAATATGTCATTGAAGTGCCATGGAGAACAGTAAAGGTGCAGGGGAATTGGGGGTGCTAGGGAGTCTGGGCTAGAGTGGAGTTCCTCAGGTATACAATGTGGGGGGGGAAGGTCTCACCTTCAGGGAATTCAGGGAGAGACTTGCTGCAAGTGTAGGAACAGGCCAAGTGCTTCTGTTGGAGGGAATGTCCATCCTGTGCAGGGAGAGCAAGCACGGCTCTGAGGCTGTGGTGTGCTCGGCACACTTGAGGCCCACCAGCAGAGGCCAGTGTGGACCGAGTTCTGGGAGAAGGGGAGGAGGTGAAGTCCAAGCAGCAGCCTAGCGTGCATAAGTAGGACACAGATTATGTTTGTAAATGTGAAAATTCTCTGTGGTTGGTGCTCAGGGTTGTAGCGTGGTGAGGTATTTCCTTGTTCTATTTTTCATCGCTTTGTAGTAGATTTGTGGGTTTTACTCTTCATTGTTACATATCCCACTCCCTTACATTCCTCTTGTGAGTTTATGTCTAGCACCAAACTTTTTCTGAACACTTGCCTGGATAATATCTTGTTTAGTTTTCACAGTGGGTGTACTGTGATTGACCTGCTTCTGCATACGTGCAGCTAGACCCTGCTATGTGCCACCCTGTATTTAGTAGACAGACTTCTTCTGTCTAGAATGTGGTCCTAGCCCCCTGCCCATTTTCTTTGAATCACTGAGCCATAGTACAATAATCCTGTCAGTTCTGAGAGTTTCTCCTTAGCACCCTCCTCCCTAACCCCCAATCTCCACCTTCCCACACGTACTACTATTTGGGCTGGAGTGATAGGAAGGGAGATTGGAGTGTGACGCTGGGTACAGAGGGCATGGAGTGGTGGGCTCGGAGCGGGGACACGGGGTGATGTGCACTGACCGAGACTGTACCATGCTAAGGTCGGACGAGGAGGCAATCTGCAGCAGGTTACAGGACCCCCAGCGCCTGGCACCTACCTGCTCAGTGTGGTCTGTACCCCTGCTTCTCTTAGGACAGTTTGTTTCCTGGTATGCGGTAGTCTGATGAGTGAATGTGATTTTAATTTGAGGAAAACAGAAGAAAATTAAGCTTTTCTTTCCCCACTTTGCTCATTTTGAATAAATAAATACTTTCTACATTGCTCTCCTGTGGTTTTGGTAGGTAAAAGAAGTTGAGCTTCTGAATGTTTGGTAAATGTATCTGAATTATCTATTGTTTGTTTCTCGTTTCCTGGTAAAATAGAAATTATTTTTTTAAGAATACCGAACAAAACAGTTGAGAGTAAAGCAGCTCACAGAATTAGTGAAGTTCTTATTTAAGTTGTAGATTTATTATTTAAGGTGGATATGTAAGATTTTTTTCTCTAGGAGCTCAAGAAACCATAAAACTATAGCCTTAGAAATTAATAAAAGATCTTTCCTTACACACATATGGAAAGTATTTAACCCCATATATATATACTTCCTTAAAACAGGGAAACTTTGTTCCTTGCTCATTAAAAAATTTCTGTTCGCAGTCTTTTCGTCTGCAGATGACTATAGAGAACATGAACCATTTGAAATTCATCCCCCACAAAGACTATACAGCCAATCGCCTGGTCAGCGGGCTCCTCCAGCTACCGAGCAACACTTCCCTTGTGATTGATGAAACTCTCCTAGAACAAGGGCAGCTGGACACACCAGGTATGGACTTGAGTGTGTCTCTTCATTCCTAATCTCTCATGAAAGCCAGATCTGGTATTGACTTGTAAAAGAATCACCAATCAGAGACAAACTTATATTTCACAAGTATTTAGGATCAAGGCTTGCCATATGAATTAGTGTAATGTGGATATTATAGACTTACGAATTGTGTACATTGGCTGTGTTTTGTCCTAGTATGAAAATAGTACGATGGCAGGACAAGGATGTAGCAAGGAGCTCTTTAAGGCTAAGAAAGGAGGAGGTTATGCCTTCAGTCATATATTAGCTAAAAAGAAAAGTGTAGGAGCACTTGAGTGGCTCAGTGGTGAGCATCTGCCTTCGGCTCAGGGCATGATCCCAGGGTCCTGGGATGGAGTCCCATATCGGGCTCCCTACATGGAGCCTGCTTCTCCCTCTGCCTGTGTCTCTGCCTCTCTCTCTCTCTCTCTCTCTCTCTATCTCTCTCATGAACAAATAAAATCTTTAAAAAAAAGAAAAAGTGTAGAGAAGATCTAATAAAACATTAACTGCCCAATATGAAGTTTTTTATTTTTTTATTTCAAAGAATCTCTGAAAAAAAAATATTCAGTAGAAGACTACACTTTATTGGGGGGTAAGTTCAAGAAGTAAAGGTAGAAGGAAAAAAATAGTGTGGACTGGGTTTACTTAATAAGGCACAGATGAGTATAAAAATCTGTAAAATTCGGGATCCCTGGGTGGCGCAGCGGTTTGGCGCCTGCCTTTGGCCCAGGGTGCGATCCTGGAGACCCAGGATTGAATCCCACGTCGGGCTCCCGGTGCATGGAGCCTGCTTCTCCCTCTGCCTCTCTCTCTGTGACTATTTAACAAAAAAAAAAAAAAAAAAAATCTGTAAAATTCAATAATCTTATCTCTATGCATAAAAATCATTTTAGTTCGACCATTTTAGTGATGTGTACAGGGTCTGTGCTAGACCCTGTACACATCACATAGAAAGTGATTGTACTTACTGGGAACCTATCTTGTACCTAGTTGCATACCAGATGCTAGATTAGATTTTAGGAGGTCCTGGCCCCAAAATACATTTGTTTAGCTTGACCAGTGTTGTCTGAAGCCTATTACTTAGTGAACATTTAGCTTAGGAGGTCGAACAGTGCTTGAGATAACTTTTTAAAGCAGTAGAAACCAGTCCAATCAGTGTCAATAAAACCAAATTGTTTAGGCGATTAAAATCAAATGACTAAAAAATTACTATTTTTTTATTTTTCAGGTGTTCATAATGTGACTGCCCTGAGCAATCTAATAACTTGGCAGAAGGTGGATTATGACTTCAGTTATCACCAGATGGAATTCCCCTGCAATATTAATGTCTTTATTACTTCAGAGGGGAGATCACTCCTGCCGGTACGAGGAGACATGTTAAGATGGAGGGAGGTCATGGTGGAAAGATACCTGTATTCTTTTGTTTCTTGGTATGGCTTATTATTGAGGAGTTAAACTTGTTTCAGAATTGGGGCTGTTGATTATCAGTAAGAGAATTGATTATTTTGTCCCCGCTGTGGGAATGAAAACCTTTGAAGAACCAGATACGGCAAATCCCAAGACGAGCAGAGGAAAGCTGTCGGTAGCAGCAGCTCCCACACCCAGGCAGAGGAAGTAGAAGCTTTCTGTAAATTGCCTGATTCACATCTAGACCTTTGTTCTTGCTGCCTCCGTCCTATTGTCTCTGCCAATCTTACGTGAGAAATAGTTCAGAATTCCTTTTAAAACATTTAAAAATGTTCCTGATGACATGGTAATTATTTTTATGCTTTATGGTGAAATGCTCTGATAAGTCATCGGAGTGACTGATGCGGGGAGCTTTTAATTGAGTCTTTTCATGATGAGAAGTAGGCCCCGTGGTCTAAAAGGTGTAGAGTTTCTCTGTAAACTGATGTTCACTGTGATCTATGAGAAACTGCCTGTGAACGAGAATGAAATGGCCCCTGGGAAAGTGTGATTTGCTCTACGTGGTTTCTAGAAAGAGAGATCAGTAAGACGTACACATATTCCAGGATTAAGAAAGCCTTGAAAACATTTTAATTAGCTGGTTTGTAGAGGTTGGTTACCTTTTTCTGTGTTCACTGCTCTCCCTGCGGAAATGTAAGTAACCAAAGAAACGCTCGCCTCTGTAATTGTCGCCGAGGGAGTCACGGTGCTTATAAACGAATGTTAGAAAGTGACCCCCCTCCGGTGATAGAGTATTTCTCGATTGCTACGCGGGCTGATACAGATGAAGGCTCCTCCCGAAATTTTGGATTAATTTCGGAACGTGGGAAACCCCGCGTCCCGTTCGTCTCTGTAGGCAGACTGCCAGGTCCACCTGGAGCCCCAGCTCGTCCCGCCCAACATGGAGGAGTACACCGACAGCCTCCTGTCCGCCGTGCTCCCCTCGGTCCTCAACAAGTTCCGCATCTACCTGACCCTCCTGAGGTTCCTGGACTACAGCATTTCCGATGAGATAACCAAGGTGTGTCTGGGGTGAAACCAACGATTTCCCGTGTTGAGTTAGACGGTTTGGTCACGTTACATTGACCGCGACTGCCGACGAGCTCGTGCGTCCTACGCCGGCGGTGCTCCTCGGCGCAGTTACACTTCCTGCTTTATGCTCTTGTCTTTAAATCAGAGGGAAAAACTTGGGCGGAGAAAGGCCGTTGTACGGCTTGTGTATTGACCTGTGTGGTTCCCTTCACCGTGGTCGGTGCGGGTGCGCGTCACCGGGTGGTCCTTCCGTTGCGGCCTGGAGAACCCTCCGTGCTTCCTGTCGGGCACGTGGGCTGTGACAAGTTCTGCCGGGTGGTTGCCGATCTGGGAATGTCTGAATTTCTCCATTTTCGAAGACTAGTTGCACTGGACGTGGAGTTCTTGCTTTATAGACTTTTTCTTTCAGCGCTTTTCACGCGTGTCCCCCCGTTGCCTTCGGGCCCGGGCCTTTCTGGTGAGGGCTGCGCTCGCTGCAGAGGCGAGCCCCCGTGCGCGGGGGGTCCTGTTGCTCTGGTGCTTTCAAGACCCTCTTTGGCCTTTGACAGGAGTTCAGCTGTGACGTGTCTGGGGGTCTGGATCTCTGAGCTTCTTCTACTGGAGCTTATTGAACTTCTTGGGTGTGCGGGTTACTGTACATCTTGGGGAAGTTTTGAGGAAATTTGCTGAGTTTTTGACCATCATTTCTTTACTTTTCTTTCTGCCCCTCTCCCTCCTTCCCCTCCAGCATGCCTGTAGGCGGATGTTGGCAAACTTGATGGTGTCCCACAAGTAGCTGAGGCTCTATTCATTTTTCCTCCTCCCTTATACTTTCCTCTGGACACACTGGCCATTCACACTCAACCTTTCTGCACGTTTGTGGAGACTTTTTTTCTGCCTGCTGCACACAGCTGCTTTTGAGCCCAGTTTCTGGTAGTGAATTTTAAATTTCAGCTACACTGTTCAGCTTCAGAATTTCTATTTGCCTTTAATTTTATTAAAAGACTTTTATTTAGAGAGAGTGAATGGGGGAGGGAGGAGGAGCAGAGACAGCGAGCGAGAATCCCAAGCAGACTCCCCATTGAACATAGAGCTTGATTTCACGACCCTCGAGATCATGACCTGAGCTGAACCTGAGAGATGCTTACTTAACCCACTGAGCTGCCCAAGCACCTGTTTACTTTTTAAATAATTTCTGTTGGGGCACCTGGGTGACTCAGTGGTGGAGCATCTGTCTTTGGCTCAGGTGGTGATCCCAGGGTCCCGGGATCGAGTCCCATGTCGGGCTCCCTGCATGGAACCTGCTTCTCCCTCTGCCTGTGTCTCTGCTTCTCTCTGTGTCTCATAAATGAATAAATAAAATCTTTAATAAATGATTTCTACCTCTTGTTATTTTTATTTGATGTGACATTATTCTCATACTTTCTTTTAGCTCTTTAAATGTGGTTTCCTTTAGTTCTTTGAATATATTTAAAGAGCTGATTCAAAGTCTTTGTCTTAAAGTCCAATATTTGGGCTTTCTCAAGGACTGTTTCTGTTTACTTCTTTGTTTCCAGTGAAACGGTCCAGACATTTCTTTTTGTTTCTATGTCTCCTTATTTTTGTTTGGAAAACCAGGGGTTTTTGTTGTTGTTGTTTTGAAGATTTTTATTCATGAGAGACACACAGAGAGAGGCAGAGACACAGGCAGAGAGAGAAGCAGGCTCCATGCAGGGAGCCTGACGGTGGGACTCAGTCCCAGACCCCAGGATCACCATCTAAGCCGAGGGCAGATGCTCAACCACTGAGCCACCCAGGCGCCCCAAAACCAGGTGTTTAAATGATATGCTAGCTCTGCTGGATCCTTCCCCTCCCTAGGGTTTGTTGTTGTTGCTTGATGCTTAGTGACTTTTCTGAATGAACTCTTGGAAACATATCCTTTGTGTGTAGGTCCTGGAGCCTCTGCTCTGTTGGCTTAGAGGCCAGTGAGTGAATTTCCTTAGATGTCTGGAAGCAGGTCTCCCAGTCAAAGCCCAGGGCTCTGTGTCTCCGCGGGGTAGGCCTTCGACACACTGCCACGCAGTTGACAACTGTGACCATCCCTTCTCTTTCTGCTTGCACAGAAAAGGCTACCCAGACGGGATAGCTGAGGGCCTGCCTTTTTTTTTTTTTTTCTTTTTTTTTTTTTTTATTTACTCATGAAAGACACAGGGAGAGAGAGAGAGAGAGAGACATAGGCAGAGGGAGAAGCAGGCCCCATGCAGGGAGCCTGATGCAGGACTCGATCCTGGGTCTCCAGGATCAGGCCCTGGGCCGAAGGCAGGCGCCAAACCTCCAAGCCACCCAGGCTGCCCCTGAGGGCCTGTTCTGATCGGAGTACGTGCTCGGCCCTTTGCACGCATGCGGCCTTCTGCATTCGGGAGGACTTAGAGATGGATGTGTCCTTTGGGGGTTTTGGAGGGGAAAAGTTCTCATTTCCTAGTTTTTTCTTTTAAGGGTTTTGGTTAGCTGTTTATTTGCCCCAACTGTTACCCAGTGCGTGAGGCAGCCAGGATGATCAGTAATTGCTTCGGATTGTTTTTGATAAATTCCCGGGGGACAGGGCGGGGGTGGGGGGGAAGAGGCTGTTCATACAGTCCGGCTGAGTAAAGACGCCTTGCACGTGGGTTCTCACAAGGAACCAGCAGAGAGTGACGGATCTCCAGGAGTGCTGCTTTGCAAGCACCCTGTGGTGTGGTTGCCAGGCGGTCCCTTTTTGGGGGTGTAGGCTGGGGGGTGGGGTGGGTAGGGCAAACTAAAATGCCTCAGAGCCCAGTGTTCTATCTTGAACATATGATGCCTGTATTCTGGTTAATTTTCAGACTTTTGAAGAAGCACATTTTGATAGTTCTTGCTAGTGTTCTTGTCCCCTTTAATGGTGGAAAGAATTTTCAGATCCTCCCTCCCTCCCTCTGCCACTTCTGACATCACTGCACGGTTGACTGTGCCCATTGCTGACCTAGGCGCTCGCCCGGAAGCCCCAGGCTGTGGAGGGGTGGCTCCCAGTCCGTTGCCCTCTCCGCCGTCCGAGCAGCAGGGCTGACTTCCTCATTTTCACATCAGCCAACGGACTGCATTACTTTGCTTTTCCTACATAATGCACATCGTTTCCTCAGAAGCCGTGGTTTTAAAGGCCACTTGCTCTCTTGTCACAGGCAGTTGAAGATGACTTCGTGGAGATGCGCAAGAACGATCCTCAGAGCATCACTGCTGACGATCTCCACCAGCTGCTCATCGTGGCTCGGTGAGTAGGACCTGCCCGTAATTGCTTTTTCGGTAAACCCTGTATGAACCTCGCAATTTTTAGGAGTAACTGAGGCAGGTTTCTACAAATGGAAAATGTTTTTCCTTTAAAATACCATGTGAAGGGCATTGAGGGGGGGGATTGTGTTTGGCCAGTGACCATTTCAGTGGAACAGGTTTTGCTTTTTCTCTAAACCTTAAAGATCCCTTTACGGAAGTCTTACTTGGCTCTGACTTGTGTGTAAGCTACCAGATCGTCTTGACCCCTGGCCCAGTATTCCTAGTGGTTTTCTTTTTCTTTTTCTTTTTTTTTAAAGAACTAGTTACTGTCCTCAGTCTAGACGTAAATCCAATTCTGTGTTTCGTGCCAGGTTCCTGTCTCTTAGTGCCGGTCAGACCACACTGTCAAGAGAACGATGGCTAAGAGCAAAGCAGTTAGAGTCTTTAAGAAGAACCAGGCTTCAACAGCAGAAATGTGTGAATGGAAATGAACTTTGAAGATCTGACACCTCTGAGAGTATTGGGCAGATTGTAGCCACATTATTGTAAAACTCAAGTACCATTTATACCACATTGTTTTGTAGATAATTTGTATCAGACACCAATGACTTTTCCTGAAATCAAGCCTGGTAACATCTGAAGTTTATATAATATTCAGTAGGGGCTTTTACCTTACTGGTTTTATGGAACTTTTGATTGTTTTATAATTATATAAATTAGTAACAATGTACAAAAGTGTATTTGATATTAAAAGTTTAATATTGATAATGTTGCTGATACCTTTTCCTTAGTTTCAGCTAAGTCGTAGGTCAGACTCTGTTGAAATGCTGATGTCAACTTCATTTGAAGAAAATTGTTGGAATTCCAAAGTCAGAGGAGTTAAGATTTTTACAATGTCTTTCCAATTAACGGTGGGTCTGAATGTGTTTAGTGGTCCAACTTTGGGGAATGGGGTGTACCGGCCATTAATTCACATGACTGTGAAATTCTGTAGCATCCTTTCCCAAACGTTGGACCACAGGTTTTTTTTTTCCACTTAACAGTTATTAATAACCTGCAAAATTAGTCTATTACATGGCAGTGGTTCCCAGACCTTTGGATTTCATGGACCAGTAGTAACATTTCCAAAAATTTGAGGGACAGGGTTGCCAATGTATTTTGCCAAGTAATCTGAAAGAAACCACTGTATTATCACTTTTTTTTTTTCTTCATAAAAGGAGTCTCAGGATGAGAGTCCTTTCAGTGGAATAAACACAGCTTTTTTGGGAAAAAAAAAACACCACATTGTCCTTATTTTTCTCATTTCACCCCTCGTGCATTTGGGAACCACTGTTTTATGGGACTTAAGGGAATGCTGCCCTAGGATAGGTTGTGTTGCCCAAGTATGAAGAAAGCAAACCGTTAACTTTTTAAAATATGCCTTCTGTAGAAAATAAAGTTTTAAATTGTTTTCATAATTGTCATTTAGTTGCTTTGATGATTGTATTGGATTTTAAACTTTTGCGTAAGTTTTTCCACTAGTTCCAGATGTGTTAGCTCAACAAACATTATCTGCTAATCCAGGAATACCCAATAAAGCTATAGGTAAGTTTTTCCCAGACCAATTACAGTTTTAACATAAAGGTTTTTAAGGTAACAAAAATATCATTATCCATAGCTAGAAAGCAATTTAATACAGTACAGCAGTGTAATTGTGGCATAAAGGATGTTTGGAAAGTTTTGACCATTACTTTATACGTAACTGCTGAGAGCTTACATAAAGATTAATTTGTTTTTTTTTTTTTTTAAAGCCAGTTAGTTTACCTAGTGGGAAACAGGAGATCAGTTAAATGATTCTGCGGGTGTTGTTTCCCTTCCCACTCCAAATCGACATCGCTGAACAAGGAAACCAGGGTCAGCCTTGAAAACCAAGGAATTCATTATGCCTAATGAACTGAAGTGAAAATTACTAGTTTAACTTTTCCTAAACTCAAATCTATTTTTATAAACTAATGTAAATAATCTGTTTATATTTAGAATTCTAACTGGTTTTCATTTTTATAACAGGTAGGCTAGACTTCCTTAACCTTTTAGAAATAAAAATGAAGACAACTGGATTTGTGAAAATAAAATTCAAGTAGATTAGTTACCGTGTGATTATTGTGCCAATGTGAATTGTAATTTGCCAAAGAGAAGTACATAATTTGCTTGATCTTGCAGAAAAGTTCCCTTGAAAGGAAAACCCTCTTTGAAATAAACAAAACTTCCCAAATTATTAGTACTTTGGGCTGTTTTTCATGAATTGTAAGAGTTACCCTGTGACGTATGGGAAAAGATCCAACACCCTCCTGGTGGAAAACCGTTGTAAGCTTAACTGTGGGAGCTGGTGCGGCGTGGTGTCTTCCTACGGGTATCCCACCAGGTAGGAGATTGGCGCTCTGGGATTCAGAACCCCTTTTCTTTTCTCTGTTGCCCACACACTGGAGGGTGAAGTTGGTTATTCCTATTTGGATCACCAGGAAACTGAACATACTACCCTGACTGGAATTAAATGTTGCCGCCTTTTTAGTTTTCAAAGATCTCTTTGCAAGGAATTTCATGAAGCTTGTACCACCTGACCTTTGCTTATATTTTCTCTCCTGTTGTGTGACACTTTAATAGTTTTGAGACTCAGGAAAAGTTGGTTAGGGACAGAATAAAGCTTTTGGTCTCAGTGTTTGGGTGTTCGAAATTTGGTGATACACTTCACTTTTAAAGTCATATCAACAAAAGAGGAAAATACTGAAAGGGCTGAGACCCAAGTGTTCAGTCATGGCGTACTGATCTTACGAATTTTTAAATCTGCTTTAGAAATCAACCATTATGTTTAAAATGTTATTCAAGGAATTCTCATACACATGGTCACTCTAAATTACAATGGTATTTTATTTTAAATAGTCACAAGATTTGACACTTCAAAAAAAAGATACCACTAATAAATAACAAATGTGGAAATACTTATCAAAGTTACAACAGACATAATGTTTAGCTGAGAATCACTTCAACAGGGTAAGGCTCTAAAGATACCAGACGAACCGATACTTATTTGGAATAAGGTGTGCAACGTCCTCGTACGGGCTTTTCTTAGGCCATGGGGTCAGGATTACAGCCATAAAATCAGTTTTAGTACAACTGTGCTTCAGACTAAATCTCAACAATTCAGTTACAGCCTATACAAGATGTTAAGGAATGTTCCCTTGCAAGAAATTACAACTTGAACACTCATTCAAAGAATTACCAATACCCAGTAAACGTAGTCTTCCGTTCCTGAAAACGGCAAAATTAAATAGATGCTGGTATTCACACCTTGTGTCTCAGGCTTTATGACTGACAAGTCTTCATAATCCAGACTTTGGGTGTACAAGGGGCAGAATATTTTAAATTTAAGTAGACTGGGGGAAATTAGGATCAAATGGGCATACCTTTCTTGACTGTCGTACCAGTAATCCTCAAACAGGGAATGGTTAAGCCATCAAAACTAAACTAGTTATTTTTTATATTCAAATGCTGCTTCGTACTAGTTAACACTCTAAAGTCACTAAGAACTAAATGTATTTACACAGGAACGAACTGACAAAAATTATGAAAAATGCTATTCCCCTACACGTGTCCTTGCATCCTTCACGGGTTTACTCGCTACACTGCACCGATCCACCCCACTCCAAAATAGGTGCAGGTGGTCATGTCGCAAAGTAATTATCCCAAAACTACTCTCAAGGACCAGGGGCTCTGTAGTGTATAAGCTACTCACGTTTACACCTTCTAGGATGATGTACTTCTGTTGTTCTGGCTCTCAAATCTGGAAATCTGCTCAAGTTCAGATCCCTTTTAAAACCTTTCCCGAAAAACATAATTAGAATTTGTGATCCCTAACTTCAAAGACAGTACAGATTAAAATAGCCTAATATGTGAAACCTCTTTTTGGATTAAATAAAAGCCATAGGATTCTTTGTGGCTAAAAACTAAATCTGAATTATGCGTGTCTGGCACTGTGTAAACATATTTTTAAGTTCATTTTGCTGGACTTGATTCACTACTTCAGGTTCTGCAGGGCTCTTCTGAACCTTGGCCACCGCAAAGTTGATCCCCTGGGTTAACCCAGCTTGGGTAATACTAGCAACCTGGACCATGGAACTTCGAATCTTTGCAAAGGGAGAGACTGCTCTGCTGCTACTGCCCTCTGAAGGAGAAGGAGTTACTTGAAGCCCTGTCTCAAGTTCAAGCATGCTGGATCCAGAGCCAGGGGTCTTTTGACCTACAACTGGATGCACTGGTTCAACTGACAAATACTGGGGACCTGTTGCAGGAAAAGACACATCTAATTGAGATGGCCGAGAAGGTGTCTGTTCTGTTGATTCGGATTGTGTTTCTTCATTAGAAATTTGATGGGTCATTTGATTTCCTTCCTCACTAGCCTGCTGAGAAACAGACCCTGTTTCTGACAGCTGGGTCATTTTGTTTTGTGCATCTTGTACAAATCTGTGGCAGTAAATATCCACAGGCTTGGCAAAACCAGTCAATACGTATATGTTGTCAGCTGAAGGACTTTTCTTCAAAGGAGACTCATGGCCTTTTCCAAACCCACTTCCATGAGCAACAATCTCCGAAGGAGCGTGAATGCTAATATCGGTGCTGCTGAGGGACTGGGACCGACTGCCTAACCGAGGTGCTGAAGCAATAATACCACAACTAGGAAGAACATAGTCTCTTGGCCCTACATTCTCTAAAGAATTAGCTAGCGGCTTGTCTTCATCAGACTTGGAATTTGCGAGGAATTCATCAGAGTGGTAGGAGTCATTCTCTGAAGACACTTCCCCATCCGACTCTGCCTGGACTTTGTTATCCATCACACCTGTGGTTTCCATGGTTTCAAGGCTACTATCTGACTTCCAAAGATTTACTTTTAAGTTTGGTTTTAGAAAGTTAACTTTCATTTCAGGTTTGGCAAAGTTTCCTAGCTTTCGTAGATTGCCAATATTTACATTAGATTTGGTCTGTTTCACTTTTTGATTTAGAGATGAAAATTTGCTCATTAAAAATTTTTTTCCCTGTGCCAGAGAGCCTTGATTTTGAGATCTGATGCCAATGATGTCTTCATGAGGTTTACTGCTCTTCCTACAATTAGAAGAAGAGAAAAGTTAACTCCCTGTGAAATCCAATATACCAGTTCCAGTTACTATAAATGAAAGCTGACTTTAACTAGGCCCAATTTCTGAAACAGTGCACTGCTAAGTGGCAAAATCAGATAATCCATGATGCTAGAACAGTACTATACAATAGAAACGTAAGAAACGTAAGCTATATGTAGTTTTAAGTTTTTCTAGCCATATTAAAAACCCGAAATTTTTATTGTATTTAACCTAATATATGCACAAAATATTTTACCATATAATCACTATTAAAAGATGATTAATGAGATATCTTATTTTTGATACTATGAAGCAACTGGTGTGTAGTATTTTACAACTTGGCAGCAGAAACCTTTGTAAATGACATTGACAAGTTGTCCCTGGATGTTGAGTGGGAACCGTGCCCCGGCTGTGTGACTTTAACCCCCGTCCAGCAGTCTCCTGCACATCGTGTTCTCCAGCAGGCCGTGCACTGAAGAGCCAGCCAGCCTGTGGAAACACTCCATCTGCAGTATCTTAATCCTACTCAGTGAAGCTCCTCATAGTAGTTGGGATTAATCATGTTGAGTTCTTTTGGATCAAAACTTTGTCTTTAGATTTGATCATTACTATTGCATGTTTCCTTCAACAGGGTTCTCTCTGGTGTTCAGAGAAGGGGAAGCAGTAGAGGAAGGAAAGGGAAAGGAGAGAAGCCTCTCAATGGCTGTCTCAACCTACATTTTTGTGCATTATTCTGAGGAAAAAAAAAACCCAAAACCACACCCAAAATTCAAACCACAGCAGTTTCCTCCTTATCTACAGGGTTACATTCCAAGACCCCAGTGGATGTCTAAAACCACAGGTAGAATCAAACCCTGTATGTCTTACATGTTTTCCCCTATACATATGTAACCTGTGATAAAGTTCATAAACCAGGCAGAGTAAGAGATTAATAGAATTACAATACTGTCATAAGTTATATGAATGTCCTCTCTAAATATCTTAGTACTGTACTGTACTCACTCCTTCTGGTGAGGATTTGAGAGGATAAAATACCTACACGCTGAGATGAAGTAAATGACGTGGCCACTGTGAGCATCAGGCTATGGCCTGACATTGTGTCAGGAGGAGAATCACCTGTTCCCGGACCACGGCTGACCACAGGTAAACTGAGCCTGAACAGGGGAGGAGGGGACCTCTACAGAGGCAAGTGGCTACCATTCGGGGTGGGACTACCACATGGACCACCTCGACAACCAACAAAGCCAGCACAGACTGTAAATGGGAGTCTATAGCATCTTAACTCAAACTGCACAGATTCCAACTTGGTTGAATTCAAGTGTGGGGGGGTTGTTTTTGTTTTTGTGTGGTTTACCTACGTTTATTTTAAAAGATACGGGATATTTGACAGGACTTTCTCAGGTGGCATCCCTCACAACAGCTATAAATACAAGAAAAAGTGACTGCTATTTGCCACACGTCTCAGTATGTATGTTTGACTTTCTGGTCATGAAATTTCATAAAAATTAGGATGCTAAAGAGCTGCTGAAACAACTCTCTACTAACACAAGACTGAACAATTTTTCTCTGGCTGACCAAATGGCTCTCCTCTAGTTGAATGTGGACCATGAAACACAATCAGATGGGAAGTCAAATTTTAATGTGAAATAATCTCTTCACAGGCATTCTTTTCCCAAATTCAGAACCCACTGGTGTTTAGAGAGAAAATCAGAGCTTGAATGTTTCAAAGTTGTTTAAATTATGGTGACAACTAATGTATTTCTTAGTTTTTAAGAGTCTTACTCTTTGACCCACAGAAATCTGATATTTCCCAGTTTAAATACCAATACATTACCCAAATTTGACTTCTCATTTGCAAATACTTTTAAAGAAGTAAGACTCTGGATAATAATGTCTTTATTCTTAAGAAAATTGAAGTAGTACACTTACCTCTCAAGTTTTTTCTCAATTATAGGTACATCTAATCCCATGGCTTGCTTGGTTATCTGTAGCATCTCTGCAATGCACTGAAGGGTATCTGAAACCCAAATACAACTGCTTGCCAGTTTCCCCAAAAACATACTAAAAAAATATAGTACTTGTAATTCAGAACCCTAAATGAAATTTG